CAATTTTAGAGACCAATTCCATACTGAAGCCCTAAAATAAGGACAATTTTTTGCAAGTTGAAACTATTTTTTGATCTTTAACCAAAGAAAAATACAAACCACAAGGATAATTTTTGCAGCTTCTCTAATATAAGAACTAGGTTTTAGAGTTTATGACACTTGCCTTGCAAATTGTAATAAGTCTTTTTCGCATATGGAAATTTGTATGAATTCTTAGATGATGAGGATCATTAGAACTAATGTTGGAGTTCATATACGCTCTTTGTATAGAGTTGCATCACTATGTTGATGTTATATATACGTTGATATTAATCACGGATACTATGTAACTAGTGATGATAAAAGTTTAAAATTTAAAACAGTACGCAAACATCTTTATATCTATGTATGTTATGATAAAAATATAAAAGTAAATCCTTTGTAAAATAAACAATATATTTTCGATCTTTTTACAGCAAAGTAGAGTATACTATAAGAAAAAGACGATTAAAAAGCATTTAAAGTAATGATGAAGACCATAATTCCATCAACCACACAACATCACTCTGTTTCCCACTCACCCAATAAAATTAAAAAAAATTAATCTCCAGTTGAATATGTTAATTCATAAAAATATTTAATTGGTAGACGAACTAATTAATAAAAAAGAATATTGGAAAATAATATTGTTTCAAGCTAACCATTTATTTTTATAAACTGATTATTGAATTTCTATAGACGCACAACAAACTCTTTAACTACATATCTATTCAAATTCTATACTTTTCATTGTACATGTAACGACTAACGTCCGTGTTAACATAATCATCCATTCCAATGTTTGGTAACCGGTTTTGCCGGTAGTTCTCAATATAAATAGATAAAAAGCCAAACTTAAAGGCTATAATTAAATAGACTTTATTGATTAAAATAGAAAGTCTAAATAATTTAAAATTTAAAGATATCAAAACCCTGTTTTTAAAATTAGTTACGGTATTTTACTAAAGCAATTCACGTTATTTGTGTTATAGGAATACAACGTTTTTGAATTGTATTATACTTTTGATGAGGTTCTAACTGTTGCTTAATCTTCTCTCAGTTGTCACTTATCGTATAATATTCACTATGATTTTAATTAATTAAATCTAATTGTTTGATATATTTATTAAAATATATCAATAAATACTTTGTTTAAACTATATATCAAATAAAACATGTCACCATAGATGATTGTCATTATGTAATGTTCACACACACATGAAATCATCGTTTATATTACCATCAAATTGCAATTGAATTCGAACTCACCATTGGTGGCATATAATCTTATACCTATTTAGGGCATCCACAATACATTAAATTCTTATTCTTTAATGGATACTCTATAAAGTTCAATGAATTATCACATTATCTTTCTTTACCATACCACTTTATCATTTATTTTTCTGCAATACATTGAATTCCACAAAGTTCAATATACTGATACAAAATGTAATTTATAATAGATATTTAAAAATTATTTTTTTTTTCTTATTGAAGAGTTCAATGACCAATGAACTCCACATCGATCAACAATAGAGTTTCATTATATAAACTTGTCATGTCATTCAACACTTCCATTGAACTCACCATTGTGGACACAAAAAAATTTATACCATTATAATGTTGATACATACATGAAACTTGTAAGTTAATTTTTTATTTTAAAGACAAAATTTCTTTAATAAACTTGTAAAATATGTTTTTAAATGTCTCTTATAGAAAATACATTATTAAATAGAAATTGACTGAAAGTACGTTTGATTAATTAAAATCAATTGAAAAATTACAATTTACCTTTCATTAAACTACATTAACATAATATATATATATATATATATATATATATATATATATATATATATATATATATATATATATATATATATATATATATATATATATATATATAACGATTTGGAGCTCCAATTGCAAATTGAACAAAACAAATGTGCTCCAAAATCTAAAAATGAATCTAACACTTAAATAACAAAATCAAGAAAATTAAAAGGAAAACCATGGCCGAAAGCCCAATTGCTACACCAAGAAGCACCTTGCTTGGCCCCCTATTAACATGCACTTGATTCTTCTTTTCTGTATCATCATCGCCGCCATCACCCTCATCACCACCACCACGGACTAAATCACTCACCGATGACGACGGCTCTTTGAACGCCGGTGGGGGCAAAATGGGCATTCCATGTTTATCACAAGTAGCAATCCCAAGATTCATTTCCGCCGAAATAGTTGAATGATTGTAACACAAATCATCATTTCCACCAATCTTGAACACATCTAATCTCTTGATAAACGATGTATCAAACGGCAAAACTCCATGGAAATGATTGTTTTCAAGATTCAAATACTTTAGTTCCTTCATTTCTGAGATGAACTCAGGGATCGCTCCATTGAGTTGATTCGAACTCAGATCTAAATGAACTAACCCGGGTATGGAGGACATGGATCCGGGTATGGGACCAGATATCGAGTTCGATGATAAAGAAACATTTTGAAGGGAAATTAAGCCACCGAATGAATTTGGTATAACTCCAATGAGATTATTTGATGAAAAGTTTAAGACTTTAAGGTTTTTCAGGAGAGTTAATGATGTGGGTATTGCGCCTTTGAGTTTGTTTTTGGAGAAGTCGATGTAGGTTAGATTTGGATTCCAATCTTTTGGGAGATATCCAATGAGATGTGTGTTGGAGAGTATTATAGAGTTTAAAGATTTCATGTTGGAGGTGATAATGTGGATACCGGAGGCTTTGATGGGGTCTCCGGAGATGTATAGATGGGTGAGGTTGTGGAAGCGGCTGAGAAAGACGCCAGTTAGGCGTTGGAGGGAGTTGATGGAGGTGAAAGAATGGAGGTTAGTGGAGAGAGAGGTGGGGAAGTGGACGACTGGGATGTGACAGTTGAGGAAAGTGAGGGAGGTGAGGGTGGATAGCGAGGAGAGGAGGGTGGTGGAGAGGTGGAAGTCGGAGGAGCAGCTGGTGAGGCGGAGGGAGAGGAGGTGGCGGAATGGGGTGGCGGTGTCGCAGGAGAATTGAGAGCAGAAACCGTGGGTGGTTGGGATGTGGAGGAATTGAAGGGCTCTTAGTTGTTGTGGGTCAAGGGTGGCGGAAGTGGAAGAAGACGATGGAGATTGAGCTGGAACGGTGTCTGTGGTGGCTGGTGGCGGAGTGGGGACGGTGGCTGTGGGGTATAGGATTAGGAGGAGGACGAGGAGGAAGGTGATGGTGGTTGTGGAAGCTCTCATTGTTGGATTCTTTTTCTCGAGTGTAGTGAACTAGTGATTTGAAGATGAGTGATTTTAAGGTTTGCAAAGAGTATATGCGAAGGAAGAGAACTGTAGTAAAATTACATATATACCCATAACATTTCTACCAAACGAAGGAGTTGATTTTAATTGTTATTGCTTATTGGAAGAAATATATTAACCTTTTTAATCATCAACAAACATAATTATAAACTGAGAACTTTATTTTTGTTACCTACATTTCTTTTATTCTTACATTATAAAAGAGTAACTTAATCATTCGTTCCACAATTAAAGCAATTGGATTAAATTAAAGGTGTAAACTAAAAAATAGTCATGTTTCTCATTTGGCAAAGTTTTTACCAATTCATGTTAAATCGTGGAATCTGATTGCTTCTTAAATCGTGAACATTTATTTATGTTGTTCGTTTAAGTTTATTTATATTAATATATGTTCAATTGTTTTTTTTTAATTACATTCATATATTAAATGTTTGTTTATGTTCATGTATGTTCAATTATGTTTGTTTATCTTTGTTCGTTTATGTTCGTTCATGTATATTTGTTTAGAATGCTACGAATATAAATGGATGAACATGAACATGATATTTGTTAAACAAACGAACATGAACCAGAAAACTCTTTCATTTATTCGTTCGTATTTCTTCGTTTGTTCGGCTAAGTTAAACGAATGAATATGAATAAGTCATTGTTCATGTTTGTTCGGTTCGTCAACAACCCTACATATTATACATCAAATATTGTAGACCATAGATTGAGAGAGAAGACAAAGATATAAGCCATAGATTGAGATTCCAAAGGTTTCTTTGTGGTATCCTTTAGGTGAAAAATAAGTTTTTCAGACAATCTGAGATTTATGTTTTTCAGTATCGCATATTTGTTAACCCTATTTATTAGTGTATATAAATATTGTTAGAGCTGTAAATGAATCGAACCAACACGAACAATTACGGTTGTAAAGGAACCGAACGAACACGAACAATGACTTGTTCATGTTCGTTCGTTTAAGTTAGTTAAACAGATGAACGAACATAAATAGATAAACAAACAAATTTTCTTGTTCATGTTCGTTCTTTTAACAAATTACTTTGTTCATATTTGTTTATGTTCATAAACATACTAAATTAACATAAAAGGATGAATATAAATAAACAAAGATAAACAAACACAATAGAACATATATGAACATAAAACGAACATATAATATAGTAATGTAATATAAGCAATTGAACATATATAAACATAAATAAATTTAAATGAACGAATATAAATGAATGTAAACAAACAATATAAACAAACATTCACGAACATAAATGAACAAACGAGATCATTATTCACACCTGTTCGTTTAACTAAACGAATAATAATTTATGTTTTCGTTCATTTATTAAATAAACAAACATAAACGAACTTCCCGCCAAACGGTTCGCCGAACAGTCGATTCGTTTACAACCCTAGATATAGTTTCTACTATTAAACCTCACGAGGTAACACGATTATCCCGATCTTATGGACCACGTTAATTATTGTCTTCATTGTTTTTTTTAATATAAGCATTCTCAATTGCCTTTGACCTTATAAACCCCAACAAAATAATATTTATCTAAAAAAATGTCACACAAACATAACCTTTTAACGAATTAATAAAGAATTTTCACAAGTATCATGTATGTATAATCTTGTAATGAAATTCTTATATTCCATTAAAGTTTTCCCATCAATTACATTTTCTCCAAACAAACATACACAGCACTCATTCGAACCAAAAAGATCTAAATTTCAAAAATTACAATTTAAACCCAACAATCAACAATCAATCTCAATGCATCCTTGAGTAAGACTCGAATCTCCTTTACTAACAAACGGATCGATCTTCACCCAAACAAGCGAGAACACCGACGCCAACAACACCGACCACAAAATCACAATCGTCGGAGTCCTGTTTTGCCTTCCCATCAGCCCTTTCAAAAACGGATACAAATGAAGAATCACCCAAAACGCAAAGAACACCTTCCCAAACAGCGGGCCCCACGCCTCATACCCTTTGTTAAGCGCATCGGAAAATCCCGCCACCACTCCGACCAAATTCACAACCAGAAGCGTCGTCGGAGGGATCAAAACCGTCGTCCATTTTATCATATAAAGCTCGCCGAACTCCAGATCGTCTGCGGATTTGCTGGTCACGGTGAAGTTCGTATCCACTCCCGCCAACATTTTCAGGAATCCCTGGAAAACGGCGAACAGATGGGCGGAGACACCACCGATCACCCAAAACTGCTCGTTACGCCAGAGCTCTTCGATACTAACGCCGCTCCATCGGATTTCCAATACACTGGTTGTAATGATCGATAAGAAGAGGCCGAGAAACCAAACTGCTGCCAGATTCGAAAGCTGAAATCAAACAACAAATGCAACTACTATTAGCTATTGATGTGATGTTTAAATTTCGTGATCTATGAAATTGGTTATTACTGATTACCGTTGGTATGATGAATTTTCCGGTGAGAAGGCAGATTGCCGGCAACGTACAGTATGCAACTAGAGGGAGAGAGGTGAAGGGGTAGACGATGGTGTTTATATACGCGAGTCTTTGAAGCAATTTCAGGCGTCCGCCGCCCCATCCGTACCACAACGGACAATGTCTGCTTAAGAAGATTTCGACGGATCCAAGCGCCCATCGCAAAACCTGGTGCAAACGATCGGACAAATTGATCGGAGCTGATCCTTTGAATGCAGGTCTTACTGGCATACAATATATCGATCTCCATCCTCTACAATGCATCTTGAATCCTGTCAAGATATCTTCTGTAACTGATCCATATATCCATCCAATCTGTTCATATTGCAAAAAGTTTTCATCATTTAATTGGGTAAGTTGATAAAATGGTGAAAGTAGAACTGTTTTTAGTTATTTACCTCTTTGCCCCATGCGGTTTTCTCTTCATACCCACAACTAATGACATGAATTGCTTCGTTGATCATGGTGGCTGGGTTTGCAGATTCGGCTAATCCTCCATTTTCCATTAAAGTTGATTCTATAAACACAGATGACATGCCAAAAGTTTTCTCAAAGCTCATTTGAGATATGAGTAATGACCTCTCATAATCATCATAACCTGCAAAAACATCACATTCACTCAGGTGTTGTTTCAATCTGTATATGAGCTATGTATGAGTGTTCCTCCTTTTTTACTGCAGAAAGAAAATAAATATGTCTTACTTTCAATCTCCTTAAGGTTAAAAATGGCAGCATTTAAATCGTCTCTTCTAGAATCACGTTGAAACTCTTCTAGATCTTTCTTAGGCTTCTTGGGTCCACAACAACACCACGAAGATGAAGAAGAAGGCTTTGATAATGCGGGTAGAGATTGAGGTCCATAACCATATAAAGCTTGCCTATAGAACACACAACCCGTTCCCACATAAACCGGCCCTTGAATGCCATCTAATCCTTTCATATTAACCTAAAATTAACAAAAAGAATGCCACAATTTCATTATTTTAAAACATGATTTATTTGGTAACAATTTCTCAATCATTATGAGGCTTACATCAAAGAAAACCGTGTTTCGATTGGCGTATCTATCACTTCGGTCAATACCATCAAACCTTTGAGGGAATTGTATATAGCAAACATCACGACCAACTAGTGGGTCCATCAAGAAACACATCGCCTCTCGAACTGCCTTGCTATTGTTTACATAGTGATCACAATCCAAATTAAGAATATAGGGTGCATTCGTGAGAACCGCAGAAACCCTAACCTGAAAAAAAAAACATAGTATTCAAATTTATGTCATTGGTCTGTTTATTTTTACTTAATACAGAAAGAACGACTTAATACAGAAAGTCAGGTAAAGAACACTTTCACGATTAAGTCAATAAGCCTAACAAACACTTTGTGACATCTTTTTATCAAATATTTTTCGAACATCATTTATCCACACAACACTGTGTGACGATGTAATTTAGGATTTACCAGAGCATTTTCAGCACCGGCCTTTTTGTGGTGTTGATATCCGGGCCTCTTCTCTCTAGATACATAAACTAGTCGAGGAAGCTCATTTCCTTCAATGTCGCGGGCCCCACTGTGTCCTAGGAAAACCTGAAAATACGGAAAATGATGGTTATCTAGCGACACGTAATCAAACATGTTTTTTTATGACAAATTCAAAATGTGTAACTTAAAAAGGAAAAGTAAACACCACTCCTATAACCAACCGGTCCCACAGCTAACATAAAGTTGATGTCCAGGTTCAATGAACCTAAACCTCACTTTGCATCTGTTACACAGAACACGATGAACTTTCTAGGATTATTTTCAATAATCAGGACCAGAAGGGAAAAAACGTCTTTTGCACCTGAATCATGCCGGGGTGATCGCGTGTGTTATTTCCCGGCCACGGTGTTCCATCTTGCATGGTCCATCCTTCTTCCGGGGTTTTCTGAGCTTTAGCCACTAAAGCATTTACCCTCACTTTATACTCCTCATAATCCCGCTACAAAACATACAAACAATTCACTTTAATTTTTACTCATAATAGCAACATACCGACAAATTTTAACCTAATAATATACAATTTTTTGAAACTTACTTTCATCGCTCTACGTTCCTTTACAAACGAAGGTTGGATTTTATCTTTCAAGTAATCGATCTTTTGCGAGAAGTAAAATTCAGGTGCACGTGGTTCAATTGAAAACCGTTTACAAAACGGGACCCACTTCCTTGCAAACTCCGCGGTTTCAACAAGCGATTCAAACGAAAGCATCGCAGCACCATCATCCGAGACATAACATGAGACTTTATCAACGGGGTAATCAACGGCTAGGATTGAAAGTACAGTATTGGCTGTGATTAGAGGAGGCTCTTTCAAAGGGTCAACTGTGCTCACAAAGAAGTCAACAGCCGCAAGTTCCGAAGGCTCACCTTCTCTTTCATACCTATGATAGATAGATACATATGGAATGTATTTTAGTTTTTAGTTTTTAGTTTTTAGTTTTTAGTTTCTATTCCAATTTTTTAGTTAAATGTTTTTTTTTTAATACCTTGCGGATAGTTCATCGGTGAAAGTGATTCTATTGATGGGACACCATTTGGGGAATTGATCCAAGACCCAAGAAATAGCAAACCAAATCTCACAAATAACAGAAGTTAGCCATAAACCATAAGAACTTTCAACTGGGTTTGTTATTCTGTAATGAAAGAAAAGTCCCAAAATGATCAATCGCACTATAATCACAACTCTATAAGGTGTGATTTGGCTCTTTGGAATTGGAACTATTTGTGAAAGTGGTTGCATTGTATTCGCCTCTGTTGACCTGTAAGAAACAATTATTAGTTCTCATTAATTAAACCATATTAGAAGTTGTCAAGTTGCAACTTTTAATTATAATTTTGATTTTACTAAAAAATTAAAAAGGAACTAAAATGTCATGTACTTAGTACTTAGTACTTACCCCTGCTTTTCACCCATCTGTTGGTCTACAGGAATTTGAACTTCTTTAGCAACTTTAGCGACACTCTTTTTTTTCTTGTTCTTTTTATCCTTCCAACTTTCGACCCTGTTCTTCCAGATTGGGTTCCCATCTTCATCAATCATTTCTTCATGAAAAAAGAAAAAGAAAAACAAAGAAAGATTATTTGATTATAAAATTGAAGCTCCGAAATTTCTGAATGACTCAAAATTCAATGTGACTCACCACTATCCACTGTTGATACAGTGCTTATATTTCTTGCATGAAGTCCAGCATCCTTCACCAAATAATATGGAAAATTTAATGTGAATTGTATTCAAATTATATAACTTTTGGTAAAAATGGTTAAAATCGCCATGTTTATGACTTGTAGTTATACCTGACTGTGATTAAGGTGACCAGCCATGGTAGTGTGGGTGACAGGCTCCTTTTCTGCAACATTTGTTAAGCTTCCTGTATAATCGGAAGATACAAGTTGGTTTAGTTATGAAGTAACATTAAAGGAAATTCCCAATTTCAAGTTCATATGCGAATCAAAAGCGAAAAAAATCCGAAGAAAGGGTTTTTAGAACTAATACCATCATAAGGGGTACCACATTGTATGCAAGCATTATGCCCTTCCTTGATCTCATAATCCAAACAAGCTTTACAGATCGGGAAATTACACTCATGGCAGCCGACAAACACTCCACTCCCATTAGAAACAAACCCAACTTGTTCGCCACAGGTGTTGCAAATCGGCATCTCCGGGTGCATCATTTCGCTTCGCTGTAAACCCCAATTGGATTGGGTTTTATCTCGCAAATGCTGCGAAATTGACTCGACTTGGTTCCTTCATTTGTTCTTCCTTTTCTATATATGGAATTCGGATGAGCGGAATAGGGTAGGATATGTGAGGTTGGTGCGCCATTTCAGGATTAGTGAAAAGGAAGGGTTGCTGGTATGGAGGGTGGGATGTTGGTGTCTTTGTAGAATTGAGATTTTGAAGCAAAAGAAAGGTGATTTTCATGGTGTGAAGGTTTAAAAATTTTGCGGGAATTTGAAGGAATGCTGTTACAGTTGCAGTCTTGCAGATGGGGTTTGTTCGTCCCATCGGCATACCTGACAATGACCTGTTAAGTGTACAATATTTAATGCGTAATGTACAACTCCTAGTTGTTGAAGTGTTTTTTTTGCCATTTTTTTTTTTCTAATTTGCCACAAAAAAAAAATATTAAATTTTAACTATTATATAAATCAATATTTTAGATTAGTTTATGACTATATGTTTTAATCTTGATATTTATTTTTTAACAAAAAAATCTAAATTATCTAATTTTATATGATAATTTGTTATTTTCTATTGAAAAAATAAAGATTATTTCATAAATTAAGCAAAATATAGAATAATAGAAATTTTGTGTTCAAAAAATAATAAAATTAAACTATAAATTAACCCAAAATATTGAAAATTTATTATATATTTTATTTTTTTTATATTAAATAGTTTATTACTTTGTTTACATAGTTATTATCATTATAATTGTGAAACAAATTTAATTTAAGTCCATACTAATTTCTTCTCTTATGTCTTAGACGATACTCCATTCATCCAAAAAGTTCTATTTTTTTACTAAAAATTATCATAGAAAACATATCATGATTTAAAACTATTGGTCAATTCTTTTAAATAAACAAAGCAGTGCGTGGATCGGAATTAATTTTAATTAATAAATTAATAACGATAAAGAAACTTGATTTAAAAGCTTACCAAAATATTGTAATGTGTTAAGTAACGTAAATTTGATAAATACTATTATTTTATAAATTAAAGTATTTTATTTTACAGAAAATTTACATTAAATTTTATGTCATTTGTTATAAATCAAATTATTTTATTTTACCACTAACTGTATTTTATAAAAATAAAGTATTTAATTTAACTGGATTTAATAATATTTATAGATGTACGCCCAATGGCGTTATTCCGACGTGGCAAGAGAAAAGTAAAGATGAGACGATTCTACTAGCTACCCAAGACACAAAACTAACGTATATATACCGGCTAAAAACATCTCGAATGCATTTCAATAAAAGAGTTGAATGACATTACATGTCTAATTGACACTCAATGGATATGAAGTTCAATGACTATTGAATTTTTCAATGAGAAAAAAAGAAATATTTCAATTATCAAATTTGTAATAAATTAGAGTTTACAAATATATTTAATTGAAGAGTTTAATGCATTGTAGAAAATTTTTGGTAGAGTTATATGAAGAGTATAATGATGATGTGTCAATCCGTTAAACTCTAATAAGTTTCATGCATTATGGATGCCCTAACCGTAAACATCCTTTTAACCCCCCTACCCCCCCTCTTTTTTTTAGAGTTCGATGCATCACAAGAATGAGAGAGAAAGAAAGAGGCGAGAGAAGAGGGTCACCAGAAAAAGAGGTGCCGCGTGAGCTATGCCGAAAAGGGGGAGATAAGAGGGTTGGGGGGGGGGGGGGGTTGTGGTGATCAAGCGTTCTAACCTTAAGTAAGTTCTTTTCTTTTTCTTCTTCTTTACTTGCTACCATCAAAAACACTAGTCACTACCATAATTCACCACCGCCGACAACCATCGCTGCCAGCGAACCAACATGACACCAACACAAAGGGTTCCACAGAGGGGTAGTTGTTGTCTTACCGTTTCTAGCTTTAAAAAAGTTGAGTAATTAAGCCATGAAGTCCATTTTCCTCTTTATTTCAGCAATCTACATTTGATGTAGGAGTTCTTACCCTCAAACCACCACCATGTAACCATCGTAAAGCACCACAATGTGGTGGATGTAAAAAGAATTCATTGATTTAGCCTTATGATGGAGTTCTAGTCTTAAGAGGTTAAGTTGAAAGCTTAACCCCACACCCTAGTATTGAAAGCTATGATTTTAAGTAAAATCCTTGTATTGTTAAGCCTCTGTAAGCCATGTTCTTAATCCATTAAACCACCCTTGATACACATAGTGATGTATTATTTATGAGCTCTTAAACTACTGAAAGTATTAAGTAAGAGTTTTGTCATTAAGTGCCTAATAGGTAAGGGTGAAAGTTGACTTAATGTCTTTAATTCTATAAATCATGAATCTGCCTCGCATTTCTAGAAATTATAAAAAATCCCTCAAAATTGTTGAAGGTGTAATTTATATAGTTGGAAAGTTATGAATGTCCACTAGCTTTTATCTACAAACTTCCTAGGTCGATTTTGGTCTTAGATCGTTTATCTCGTTTTGTTCAAAGTAATCAAGAGAGTGGTCAACATTTTGTTGCAATGTGCCATTACTTCTAAAATTTATACAAAATCAACAAAAAATCGTTATAATGTGTATTGTATATCATTGAAACGGTAAAGGAGTGAATTTAACAATAAGTAATAACCTTCCTGAAAGAATAAGTTTAAGAGGGTAAATCTATCCATGAACATATTGTTGTAACGAAAGTAAAAGTGAAAATAAAGTATGATATAAGTATTACTAAGTAATGATTCGAGATTCGGTCTAGGTAGAGATTACTGTATTATATGTAGGAGTTTAGAGAAAAAAGAAGTTTATCATAGCTTATGGTAGGAATATTGTTCAGACGGCTTGTTATTTAAGTGAGTTACATTAATTTGTTTACTATGTTGACTATGCATGTATATGTGTAATGTTAGAGATATTGACCATTACAATCCCTTCGGGGGGGGGGGGGGGGGGGAATAGTTAAGGTGTGGATGATAATGACAAGCCCTTCGAGGGAAGTGATCAGTTCCAAGTATTGCAGTGTATGAGACAAGCTTTTTTGGGGAACTAGTTTGCTAGTGTAGGGTTAGTACCGACAATATGTGTTAGAAACTTCTGTATGATATAATATATGAATGTTATGAAAAAGTATGCGTTATGTGAAGGTATATGATTAATACAATGGATGAATAATTTGTATGTCCACTAATCTTTATGCTTACAACTTACCCGATATTTATTTACCTTTTCAGGACCTTCGACCTTCTGGTACATATAAGGAAAAATACCAAGCACGACTGCCCATGGTGTTCACATTCCGAATGTTTTTCAGTTTTGATTACTTGTTACTTAAGTTTATGAAACCTGAGTTTTGACTTACGCACCGGTTTAAATAGTTTTCTTTTAGTAACTATGATATTACATTTTGAAAGTTTTAAGGGAAACGTATTGAATGTTTCCTTATAAAATGTTTTAAATGAAAAAACTTTTTTTTTTGGGATGTTACATTGTTATTAACAATGTAGTATATGGTTGAAATTAAGTAGTTGGCGGTTTTACTATTAGGTTCCATATCAAATATTTAGCTTTATACATAGAATCTCAATTTGATTGTCAACTTCATTACAAAATAATTAAAATTCTCTACTTTGTCTATGAATATAACATAATTATCTAATCGTATGTGAAGTATGAACCACATAAATCTTATATGTTCTATATTTTTTTCTTCGCTTAATAGTGTGTTGTCTTTTGAAAACCTTCACAAGAATTTGGATAATGTGATTACATCCTTTTGGATTGTTACAACGATGTAGTTTCCTTTGAAATGTACAAACTTTATTCTAAGCATGCCAAATTCATGAATATGCATTCATACACAAAAAATAATGTGTTGCTCTTTCATTTCAATTATGAAACGTTAACATGTAATATAAAATCGGAAAACATATCTATTTGAGTTTAAGACCGTGAAATGAAGGTAGAAAATAGGATTAACACATAGTGAATTCACTAGGTGGTGTTATATTGCTTCACGTCGGTCTTTCTGAAAGTAACTAGTCAAGTACATGATTTGATAAATGATTCCACGTTAACCAATACATGATTCTAGTGGTCACATTTTAAATGTTAATATGGTAAATGCATGATGAATAGTTATGTTTACTCGAATGATATATATATATATATATATATATATATATATATATATATATATATATATATATATATATATATATATATATATATATATATATATATATATATATATATCACCGATTGAGGAAAACAAGTTCATATTGATCATATGAAGCTCGGGCCACATAATAAGTTGAAAGTTGATTCATGTCGTTGAAACTTAATATGTTCAAGTTGTTAATTTCCGTAATAAATTGGATTGGTTGTCGAATGACTATTTTTAAACATTTTTTGTTTTGCTTGCACCACTTTACGATAATAAACCATTTAGGCAAACTTGGAAAATTAGGGATAATATCATAAAAAACCTTAAGGTTGGCAGAAAATGTCGGTTTTACCATTCGACAGATTTTTGGTTCGTTTATACCGCAAACTTGTCATTTTTTTTTGTCGATTTTGCCATTTTTCCTGCAATAGCAGGTTTCCAGGTTACTATGAATTATTTTTTACGAAAAAACCTTAAGATTATAAACATATAAAATATAAATATATGTTCAAAATTTTATAAAACTAAATAGTTTTCTACTGAAACATATTTTTAGCTTTATGTACGGTAAATTTTATATTTGTTCGGTATAAAGTTTTTATATTTAAATTTTAAAAAAGTTACCTAGTTTTATCAAAATTTAAATATATTTATTAATTAATACTTAAACTTTTCAAAACAATATTAAAAAACATCTGTTAGCTAATAATAATATGACATTAGTTACATTCAATTAATTTTTTTAAAAGAAAAATAAAAATATTTTGTATGTTTAAAAGCTTTGTATTTCAGAAATAATAAACTATCATATTTTTATTATGTATTTAAACATA